TTTTATTTATATAGACCTCATTAAACCTCATATTCATTTCTTTAGACCAAATTATTCCTACTTCAATATGTTTGGTTGGTCTGTGACCTACCAAAAATATTCCATGCATATTTCTTACATAATTTATAGTATTTACACAATTTATGTCCCATCTGATTTCATGGATTCTGAGTGGCTCATATAAAAATCAATTTAAAATAATCTCCATTAAGACATAATTAAGAACAGCAACATTATGGCATTTATTATCCTCTGGAGTGCTTCATATTCTAGGGCAAAATGTAGTATGATTTCAAATAGATCTGATTTATTCAAACTCTAACTATGCTGATTGGTAAAATTGATAATTCATTTAATTCATTCTTCAATTTTCTGACATAGGGTTTTGTAAGACGAAGGTACAGAGCCAGTTTTGATTTGATGATGCAGATCAAATAATACTACATTGTGCCAAAGGAGATCAAATGGTATGAAATTTAGATCCATTGTTTCTATGCATAGGGAATTTTGGTCTTCAGGAAGGTTTTCTCCAAAGCTGACAAGCCATAGAACAGTGATGGCGAACCTTTTAGACACCGAGTGCCCAAACTGCATGCATGCACATGCCCAAATGGAAAGGTGCACATGGGCAGGCATGGACATGAGCGCACATGAACGCATGCACAGCAGAGANCACCCATTGCTTCTTGTTCTATCCTCAGGTGCCTTGGAGAATAGTTTGACTCCTTCTTCTTTGTGGCAACCCCTGAGATATTGGAACACTGCTATTTAATAAATGTAAACATTTTCCATCTTACATACATAACTCTGAGCAACTAACAAAAATAGAACCAAATCAATAAACAAATCATAACAAATAGTGTAAACTAATAGCAGAGAACATTCACAATATCCTACAATGAATACAACCAGGAAATGGATTTCCTCTTATTATCAGCTTAGAGGGGTCTTCCAAAGCTTAGAGGGGTCTTCCAAACTTCCTGCCCGACTTCTGTCCTTTTGAAATGATTCCAACTAAACTCTTGAGCCCAACTTAACAAATAGGGCACTTGTGGAATTTAAATTTTTTTACTACCAGTTCTGTGGGCATGGTTTGGTGGGCGTGGCATGGCTTGGTGGGCATGGCAGGCGAAGGATACTGCAAAATCCCCATTTCCGGCGGATCAGCTGTAACTCGGGAGGCAGAGAATAGACGGGGGCAGGGCAATCAGAGGTGGTATTTACTGGATCTCTGAACTACTCAAAATTTCTGCTATTGGTTCTCCAGAACTGGTCAGAACTTGCTGAATACCACCTCTGGAATAGGCTCTTGCATCTGGCAATTTGTGGAGCAGTGCCTCTGAAGGCTCTGAAGGCAATAATTTTTTTACATCATTCTGAAAGTAGAATGTTTTTGAAAGATTTAAAATCTCAGATGTAATGAACAATTGGTAGATACTGTGCTACCTTGACCATAATTATTGGTAAGATGGGGAGTTCTGTCCTAATGACTTTGGAAAATCATAGAAGATTATGTGATTGTATGGTTTAAAACCCTTGCAAATACCTAAGATCAAGTTAAAACTTGTTTTGTTTGTTAACTCAGGTTTCAAGGTTAGAATTTATTCTCCAACTTCAATAAAAATGTTAGCTTCAGTTATGTAAAAATTATGTTGAACTAGGTAGGCTTTTGACCTGATTTAGCAGGGATATGCTTTATGTTCTTATGCTTTGCATTACTTCATAATAAAATTCTATTTTGCATGAGTTTCTATTTTTATGTGTGTGTGTGGTTAGATTTATTTTCTAAGAAGGTTAAATTACTAATATTTAAATATTAAAACAGGTGTGACTTAAAGAGCAGCATACCTTTTCCAGGAACACTCATGGAATAAAATTTTTGTTAAGATGAATGTCAAAACAAAAAAGCCATGAGTCAGAAATGTAGTATATACCAAATACATAGCAGCTTTTTTAAATTAATGGTACAAACCCATCTAGATTTTCTGGGTTAAGTCCTACTAAAATTAAAGATCTTACCTCCTGATCAATTAGGCTTCAGATAATAGCAGACAGTTACATGATAGTAGTGGGACAAGAGAAGGTGAACAAGCAGATAGGAAAGAATTTTTTTCTAAGAATAGGAATTGACTCTAGGAAAACTCAATTAGTGGTCAGAGATAAAAGGCAAGATAAGTAAAATTTGCAAACCTTGTGCAATTCTGTTTTTACTTTATTCACATGAACAAAACAGGAAAGAAGAAATAGAAATAAAATAAATGGACATTTTGAAAAAACTCTAAAGTATTTATTTCTTCTTCATGTTTCATGTTTACTACATAAAAGCCATAAAGGTTGGAAAATTGAAATATACAGATTGTTCTATTTTATACCAATCCTTACTGATTTAAGTTCACTATGTTATTTACTGTACTATGTTAAGAACATCATAATTTGTTTAATTTGTTTAAATTTGCTTACTCATACATTATTAACTGACTTAAAGCTGAAGGTAAATTTTATTTGAGATTTAGTTTAATAATTGTTTTAAAAGAATGGAATTTATTTTAATATGGATTTATGCTTCTATGTATTTATTTTACTTATATGTAATATCATTTTCTTTTGTCTGATGATGTAATTGTTCTGACTTTCCTTGATCTTTAAGCATTTGGTACCGTCAATCATTCTGGACAAAATGTAAGAAATAAAAGTACAGGCAGTTCCTTGACTTAACAACCACAATTGGGACCAGAACTTCCATTGCAAAATGATATAGTCATTAAACAAGTCATCACAGGTGTGCAATTTTACAACCTTTCTTTGTTGTGGTTGTTGAGCAAATCACATGGTTGTTAAGTTAATACAGCTTCCACATTGACTTTGCTTGACAGAAATTGGCCAGGAAGGTTGCAAATGGTACTTATGTGACCCTGGGATGTGGGAATTGTTGTTAATGTATCACAGTTGCAAAGTGCCTGAATCATTATCACATGACCATAAGAATGCTTCAGTAGTTATATGTGTGAGGACTGATCACAATTCACTTTTTTCAACACTGTCCCAACTTTGAAAGGTCATTATATGTATGTCAAGGCCTACTTGTAGTAAGTAAAATGTTGTCCTTTTTTTCTCTGTTCAGATTTCTGTTCAGATTTCCTCATCTACTACCTTTTTGTTTTTTAACTTTCCATTTCTGGAACTTTGTGTATTAAATTAATGATCTATCTACAATAAAAGTTGTAGTTTATAATAAGTTTATTATAAACAAGAGTTTATAATTTTTATTATTGTAATAAATGATTCAGTAATTTTTCCTGAAGTTCTAAGATAAAAAGCTGATAATTTGAAATTAAATATTTTATATTACTTGATGCAGGAACCCAAGGGATAGGTGAAATGTGTCATCAGGCCTGAGTTCCTGTGCTACCACAAGAGATCTAATAAAGCCCACATTAAATAAATAATATCCAATATAATAGCATTTAATTTTTATATTTTGTCTTAAAATAATATGAACATTTTAGAATACATAAACACAGTGTTAAATATATGTGCATCTTTAAATGTCTAAAGGCTTTCCAATCCATGAAGTGTAGTGTTCATATTTCTTCTATAAATTCTCAGATGAGCATATTGTTTATTATAGTCTTTCTTGCATGTTAGAAAAGTTAAATACATTGCTCCGCTGATTAAAATATTTAAGGTCAAGACATTGCTGTATTTTCTGTAAGGAGATTAAACTGATTTTGCTAGGATTGACAATGTTCGGTTAAGCAGGATTAACCAAAGTCAAGACAAGGATATAATCACAGTCTTTAATAATTGGTTATAACCACAATATGATGCCTGCATTAATTTTTACAGATAATGGTTTCTCTTGTAGGAAGAGTGTGGAGAATAAATTGTGGCCAATATAGTCTTTTAAATAATTGCTGGTTTTGGATGTGAACAGGCAAAGCTAAATCAGAGATTCCATTTTAAGATCAAAAGGAATGCAATGGAATTTCCATTTAAATCAAGAGTAAAACAGTTCAATGATCTTAAAGTAGCTAGGTACCTTCAATACTTATTTTGGAAACATATTGTTATTGCTTATACAAAGAAAAACATAATAAGCCTGAATAAAATATCACAAGGGGGTTACTATAGTTTGTTCAGTGTTTCTGGGAATCTGTTTAGCTGGTTTCCAACTGAAATGATACAAGATGTGATAATGAGCAAAATTCATGGTACCTATATACCAAGCAAAGATATTTAGATCATCAGGTCCTTAGAAGAATGTAAGGAAGAAAATTTACTATATGTTTTTAGGGGAGTTGGCGAAAGCATATGATAAAGCAAAGATGCTTTTGCTTGCACAGAACATTTTATGCAAATAGTTGAAGGAAGAATGAAAGGTTTGAAAGGAAGGGAAGATACATAACATTGCAGTTGGACAGAGTTATGAAATCCTCCAAAAGAGGAAGGAAAGAAGTTCAAAAACAAAAAAAAATATCAATTTGTTACACTTATGTGAAAAAGATTATTTGCAAGTGTACCAAGACATGGAGAGCTGCAGGATATTGTATGCTGTTAGATTTAGATTTTATTTTGTCTACTGGCTTTAATTTCTTTTGTTTACTATTTCTGTATTGCATAAAATAATTGACCCAACAGTATAGTGGGATGTGTAATGTGTGTATGTACTTTGCTTTAGTGGATGATAGTAGAGGTGATGGTTATTATTTTAGTATTATATTATTTAGTTATTATTATACCTGGAAAAAAAATGTCACATTTGATTTTGAAGACTTTCCCCTTACCTTGGCTTTGAAAAAACCTTGAGAAACTGATATAATAATAATGATATTTCAAGTTTAATTTCAATTACTCATGTACCTAAACTTTGGATGTTCTCCAATTATCCAGTGAAAATTATTGTATATATAATCAATTTTCATTTCAGAAGCAAACATAAAAACTAAAAAATGAAAATAGTTTTGTTTTATACTAATTAAATATGTGTGTTTTTTTTTTAGTAAACAAGCACAAGCCATGGATTGAAACATCTTATCATGGAGTTATTACTGAAAACAATGATACAGTCATACTGGATCCTCCATTAGTTGCCTTGGATAAAGATGCTCCTGTTCCATATGCAGGTAAATAACAATGTGTTTGCTGAGTGTTATGGAACTTTATGAATTGTTTATAGTTGCAATGCATTCTTTTGATAGTGTATAATCAATATATGATTGTTTAGTATTTCATTTTAGAACCATTTGGCTTGGAATGCAGTAGTTTTATATTTGCTAAAATGTCTGTGTAGATTCTTGATCATCCAGGTCATAGTTGTATAAACTATACAATCATTCTCCACCATTCAGTCAGAGCTGAAGAAGGTTCTTGGATGAGAACCAAAATGTCTTAGAAGAAAAACAAGTTCAGTTGCCTCTTGAAAAAGCACTTTGAGATTTGCTATAAATAGGATAATTTAACAATTTTGAATTGTTTGTTAGTAACAGATACATTTTTGAGAACTCTCTTTATATAAGCTGTCCATCATGATTACATAGTTAAATTTATCTTCAGTTAATAATATCAACTAGCCATTATTATTATTTTTATATTTTCATTTTCTTCTTTTTACAATGCATTCCACTGGATTCCACTGGATTCAATGTTATTGTTCTTCTACTGAATTAATGAGGATATAACTTAAGTTACTGCTTTTAAAATCCATTCTGAAATGCTTTCATTTTCCTGATTTGTAGCTCTTATGCTATCACAGTATTAAAGAAAATATGTTAAATATTTATATAAATGGGTGAAAAATATTTCATTTTAGGAGGCATTCATTTTGCTTACATCCACTTTTTACATGTCAACACAAATTTTTCTATTTCAATAAATATGATCTGTTTGGGAATAAACATTTTTCATTTTCTCCCATGAATTTGTCTAATAGTCCTTATTGAACTTTTTTTAAAATATATTTTTGGAAAATGTGTAGTGAGCACATGAAATAGTAACTTACAAATATTGATCAAAATATGTCTGAAGCATTGTATTGATTTTAAAAGCCTAGATGAATAGGAATATATGAGCCTTACAATTTTAGATACTGTAATCTATAGAATTAAGAGTTACACAAAGTCAGAGAGAGACTTTAGAAATTAAAACTGCAAATTCCCAGCTCCTTCAGTTTATTATTTGTTTTTTGTTTGGAAGGCCGACAATACATAACTACCTAAAATACTTCTTGACCTCAGTTCCTGCCACAATCCCCTTGAACTTGTAATCAGATATCAATTACTTTGATTATACCAGAAAAAGAACCATGGTGGCACTGTGGTAAAATACAGTATTGCACTGCTCCCTCCAGGAGTTCGATTCTGAATGTTTCAGGGTTGACTTTTCCTTTTCCTTCCAAGATCAGTAAAATCCAGATTGCAGGGTGCGATATGCTGACTCTGTAAATTGCTTATAAAGGGCTATAAAAACAATATGAAGCAGTATATAAGTCTAATTGCTAAGTTTAAGAGCCACTGCCGCACAGTGGTTAGAGTGCAGTACTGCAGAAAACTTTTGCTGACTGCCAACTGACTGCAATTTGGCAGATAGAATCTCACCAGGCTCAAGGTTAACTCAGCCTTCCATCCTTCTGAGGAGGTGAAATGAGGACCCAAATTGTTGGGGGCAATATTCTGACTCTGTAAACAGCTTAGAGAGGGCTGTAAAAGTTCTGCGAAGCAGAATATAAGTCTAAATGCTATTGCTATTCTCTAAATAATAAATAAATGAAAAGGAAAATTTTATCAGAGCCAAGATTGGGACCTAGCACCTGAAGACTTTTGGCTACCATGTAACCAGGAAGCAAGTCATCAAATATACAGAGTTATTAAAAAAACAAGTTCATAGAAACATAAAAAGAAAAATGTGATTTTCTTGCTGTCTGGAAACCAGTGTAAAGTAAACCATTCCTTTATAAAAAATCTTTGGCTTGTAAAAAAAATATTCATACCTTCAGACCTAGCAGCTGATAAGAAGAGCAGTTAAGGAAGAAGCTAAGACTGAAAAAGCAGTTATAAGTTCAAGATGATCAGTTTTTTTGCGTCACAGCTATTTACTTTGATTCTATTCTGACAACATGCCTTTTCCTTTAAGTCGGAGTGGCTATATTCCTTAGTTATCCCAGTATTTTTATTTTGAAAATATTCCTTCCCCTCTAGTCATTATAATCTCCCCAACAGTATCTCCCAAGTCTTCCTATCTCTAGACAGATGCTGATCCGACATGAGGTTAATTATGCTTCACTGCAGAAACAGATATTTGTCAATCTCTTTATCTTTCTCCCAAAGTACAAAAATAAGAAAACCTTCCTATGATGTTAAATCTATGTATCCACCTCTATCCATTGTGCCATGGAAAACTGAAGACATACTAACTGAAGAGAGCCGAGGTGGCGCAATGGTTAGAGTGCAGTACTGCAGGCTACTTTAGCTGACTGCTAGTTTGGCAGTTCGGGGGTTCAAATCTCACCGGCTCAGGGTTGACTTAGCCTTCGAGGTGGGTAAAATGAGGACCCGGATTGTTGGGGGCAATATGCTGACTCTGTAAACCGCTTAGAGAGGGCTGAAATCCCTATGAAGCGGGTATATAAGTCTAACTGTTATTGCTATTGCTATTGCTAACTTCTTTTTTTAGATAATATTTGGCTTAGGGAAGTCGTAAATTGCAGATCACCAATAACTTTTAGAGTTCAAATTAAGTTCTAGTCACTTTGGAGAGATTTTTGCTTTGCTTCACTTTAGAAAGCCTAATGCATTTTTAAAGATGTCTGATACATATCTAAATTTGGATGAGTTTTACACACATCCCTAAAAACTTAAAAGTATTTTCATGAATCCAAAAGTAGCTGTCAATCAGTTGCAGCCAATATACTTAAAAGGATATTATTGCATTATACATTAAATGGCTTCCTTGAGCATAAATTTTATGAAGTTGGTGGTGATTCTGCTGCTAAAATGAGTGCAATTAAATGATACTCCCATTAATAAACTCCATGTGCTCCAGGGTATGGCTGGATTAGGAAATTCTTGAGAAGCTTGTGAAAATTAGTGAGGTTGTGTACTTGTCCTTAATTTTTTCAGTGGAAGTTATTTGATAACAACATTTTCCTTCCTAACATGATACCTTGAATAGAGATTACTGACTGCTGGGATCCATTTCAGTCTAAACTATGTATGCAATGAATATCACACACCAGGAAAGTCATTCATTATTTTGACCAAGACCTGGATTTTGCAGATAATATTGCCCTATTTGATGAAACTACAAGAAGTGATGACTGCCTTAGATGAAGAAGCAACCAAAATTGGCCTCAGCGTAAGTGCCAAGAAATCAAAGATCATGTACAGTATATGCAGCGCCACTAGACAGATAAGGGGAAATAACTTATGTACATATTTGGGTAGTGTAATAGCCCAAAATAGAGATGCAGAGATGGATGTCAAATGCTGTAATGCAAAGCAACAGCTATTTTCCAAAGGATGAATAAAATCTGGTTCTCATTGTCTATATCATTGAAACTTAAACTCCATTTGCCTGTTTCTATAGTGATCCAACAGCCATTTATGCCAAGACTTGGAAGGTGTCAGCAAGTATTAACAAGAGGCTTGACATCTTCCAACAAAGATTTCTTTGCTGAATCCTTAAGATTTGTTTTTTTTTACCATATTACTAATAAAGAAGTGCTCCAAAAGAGTTTTTCCTGAAAACTGCACAACATTGACACATGTAGAAGACTCCAACTTGTAGTCACAATTTCCACAAGGAGAACAATCAAATCTCCAAGATAGAAGTCAGATCGACCTTCCAGATGCCAAATGACCAAGAAGAAGCCCTCAAAATACATGGCGAAGAATGTTCATGAAGGACTTAAAGACTGTAAACATCATATGGGAAGATGCTGAAGTACTTACCCAAGACTGAAAATGCTGAAGATCCCTTGCTTCCCAATATGCTACATAGCATGAAAGGATCTAATATTAATGTTAAAAAATTGACTTTTCTTTCAATGTTTACAGTAAACTGGTCATCCTAGAATTTGACTTGGATTGCTGCTTCCCAAGGTCTATTCTAAGAAAGCTTTAATACTCAGAAAAACACTCAGAATACACTGTACTCTGTTACAGTGAAAATAACTAATGATGACTGAAAGTATGATCTATTCACTCTGCTTTTAGTATTTAGGACCTAGGATGGCTTTTTAATGAAATACAATTGACATCACTACCTGTCTTACAATTTGCTGTTTTATCATATTGTCTATCATTGCATCGTCCTCAGGTTCCCCAAAGAGTAGGAATTGATGTAGCTGTACAAATTAGTTGACAGTATTGAATATTAACTACATCAAGAGCCCTCTCATAGCAAGCAGAGGTAAGAAGGTTCACCTGCTAATTCCTATTTAAAAAATCTTCAGTGATCTGTGAAAGGAAGTTTGAATATATTAAGTATGTAATTTCATGCCAACTTACATTGTATAAGCTGTGTTGAATTCAAAGAATTGATTATTCAGTAAGTAACTTTAGTGCTGAAGCCTTTATGAATGTTTTTACTAAAAAGTCTATTAGTTATACTTTTTAACTAGAAAATATTTATTTATTTAATAGTTTAAAAGATTGTACATGATTTTTATCAGTTTAAATTATAAGGAACCTGAGCTGGATTGGATGGGGAAAGAAAAATCTTAAAATAAAAATAACTTTGCCTTTATATCTTTGAGAGGGAAATCATTACTGCTAGGCCTGACTTTTAATACCATAAAATGTACTTTCCTCTCTGTATTGTTTAAAGGTTTAAATTTGTTGCAAACAAATAGTAATCAAAGGCCAACTGGCTCTAGTGAATCTTGAGGGCATATAAACTAATTACCAATTCAACTCTAAATATAGTCAAAAGGCCAGTAATCAGGTACAAGTAAAAGAGATAAAAATGGAAATATGCAAGATTAAAAAAGGGGGGGAAAGAAATTAGTATATATTTTCAGGCACAAGGTGAGGTAGAGCTTGCCACAGAGGAACCACAGAGGAATCACTACAAAATGGCGCTGTCCTCAAACTCCTTGAACTCATCCAGAAGAAGCCATATTGGATGA